TATATATACATATTATTCTTACTATCGTTTATATTCAATAAACTTCTTATATAATAAATTTTGTTTTGTATGTACTAATTATTATCTTAATTAAATATCAAAATTTTTCAAAAATTACCATAGAACTTTAAAAGTGAATTTAGATCTATTATATTCAATTATATCATATTTCAAATAAAAAATAAAATAGTATGGGTTTATTATAAATATTAATTTGAGATGTGTTTAATATGATCTTGTTTTATCTCATAAACGACTTTATAAAAGCAAAAATTCCATCGCCGGGAATCGAACCCGGGGCACAAACGTGAAAGGCTTGGATGTTACCAACTACACCACAATGGACATCTATATTTTGGTTTTGTCATTTTTGCCTATCAATCATCAATGTTATTGATTTAAAAGTTTTTATAAAAATCTTTATTAAATAATCATATAGTTCGAATTTAATATTATATTATATTATTGGTTAAATCTCTCATGTTACTGGTTACATCAGTCGAAAAAGTAAAAAGGTATCCGACCAACCGGATTCGAACCAGTGACCTAAGGAAATCTATACCTTCTACAGTCCTCCGCTCTACCAACTGAGCTATGGTCGGTTACCGATATTCATTTTATTTTGTTCAGCCAGGACATTTTTACTCACTCATAAATTTCTTCTATATAAAATTTCAAAATGTTCCATCTTTATTTAAACATATTTTTATTCATATAATCATTCATTTTATTATAGTTCTATAATGTTTTATATTATTATACATATTATTTAAATATTTCAAAATAACAATAATCTTTTTAATAATTAAGTATATCAAATATTTTAATATTTTGTTATAATTAATCTTTTTTTTGTATTTTAATATTTATTATATATATATGTTGTCTTGTATATTTTTACGTGTTTTTAATTTTGTACTCATTGTATTTTATTCGTATATAAATTTTCATCGCAATAACTATTTCATCAGCTCATATTATTTTATATATACATATTATTCTTACTATCGTTTATATTCAATAAACTTCTTATATAATAAATTTTGTTTTGTATGTACTAATTATTATCTTAATTAAATATCAAAATTTTTCAAAAATTACCATAGAACTTTAAAAGTGAATTTAGATCTATTATATTCAATTATATCATATTTCAAATAAAAAATAAAATAGTATGGTTTCATACAAAAACTGCGTTTAAAATATATCAATCAATTAATATAAATTATAATTTATGATTTATTTTTTTAATTTTTTTTATTACAAATAATTAATAAAAGTTCAATTTTAGTTTGGTTTAAAAAATGAAAATGGATTACATTTCAAAATTATAAGGCGGTTCTTTTGTCCGCCAACAACTATTAGAAAACAAATAATAATTAAGAACTTATTTGACTTAGATTTGATAAGTATCAATTTTTGGAAAAATTATATGAGGTTTTCCACGTTGGGTTTGTTATACTTTGAGAAAACAAATATTTTGGAGGTGCGTTTACAATATTTTGATCCATTTTCCCTTCGAATTTTTTATCAATAAGTGTCGAAAGCAGTAAGCTCTTCAACATAAAGATCGTTTTTATCACACATCTATTTCTGTTTTTGAATTTCCTTAATGACACAGAACAAAACAAGCTTTACTAACTATGCGTTTATAATTTACGCGTACAATTTATGTGTTCGTATTTTTTTTCGGCGAACTCGCTAATAACATTATTATTTTTTCAAGTTTTTCGTTTTAAGATTTTTTAATTTTTTATTCTTTTTAGAATAGTTACATAAACCATACATTTTAAAGGAGGATTATTTTTCTGTTGATTCACTTTAATGAAAATTATAATACTTTCAATTCTCACCATTTTTTATTGAGATTATTTGTTGTTGGAGGTTTTAAAGTGGTTTAATTTAAAAGATAATTAAATAAAATGTGAAGTTATTGCAAAATTTATTAATCTGCTTCTCATTGTATCCGTTTCACGTGGAATTGTGAATGCACGTGATATTTGTTGATTATTTGTAATGAAATCTCAAATAACTTATTATGTCTTTTCATTTTTTTAAATATGATCTAGAATTTAAATAAGTCATTTATTTGTGATCATTTTTTGAGTTTTTTAATGGGCAAATATTATTATTTGGTTGATAATAAACGGACAAAAATTCTTATTATAATATTTACCCGTTAAAATAGTTTACAAATTAGTCCTTCTGAAATCATGAGTGTGTAATCACAATTTAAAATGTTCCGTTTTATGAATAAAAAATCGATTTTTATTTAAAATGTATCAGTTTTTTATATTAATTAAAAAACTTTGAAACTAAGCTATTAAATAGGAAATTGATTAAACTTTAAATTTATAAAAAAACACAGATCGAATACACATAATTTGGTTGCGGTTTTCTTTACTAATAATTTACACAGAAAACTTTTTTTAAAAAATCTTTTTTTCTTTTATTTACATATAAATAAAATTTAGAAAATGTTGTGTCACTTTAAAATGGTTAATAAAACATGTTTTTAATTTAAATAAAAAATAAAATCTAATTTATTTTAATGTTTGGTTTTTTATTTAAATACTTATTTTTTTGTTGTTGTACAAAAAGTTATAATTTTGTTTTCTAAAACTTAAAAAAATCAGCGTTTATTAATTGTGTTAAATTCATCAATATAATATTGTGTTTACAATTAAAATACATTTAAACGTTTAATTTGTGGTTTTTGTTAAAAAAATAAACACTTCGAGTTTTTTTAAATATATTTTCAATTCTTCAAAAAAAACATTTTAATGACAGTTAAATTGTTTAAAACGAAACAATTTATCAAAAATAAAAATGGGTTCGTTTTAGTTATTATTACAGTTTATCAATACAAGTACTTAATATCCAATTATTCGACATTCAACTAAAACTAAATAACGTTTATCAACATTTTTGACCAAAAAACTTTGTTATTTATATAAAACGTTTAAATATTATAACATTTCAGTTTTCAATGTAAAATAATTTTAATAAACAAATATTTTATAAATGCCAAGAAAATTATAAATATTTGGGTGTTTGTTAACGGAAAGAAATGGGTTATAATAATTTTATATTTATTTAATTGCCATTTATTTTATTTTTATTTGAAAAAGTGTTGTTTGAATTTATTTTTCAGTATTATGTTTAAGTTTATTTTTTACAAGTTTTAAATTTTTGGAAAAAATACTGTTAGCAAACCAGCCATGAGTCGAATTGTTTTTTATAAATAAAAAATAATTACACAATTGAAAAAAAAGTATTATAAAGTTATTATATTTAAGTTTTGTTGTAAATTTTCTCGTATCTCAATATAATGTTTTATTTCAAAATTAAAATTAAAAATTATACACAAAAATGATACAACATTGTCATTATTTTAAGATTTTTAAACTCTAAATATATATAAATGATTAATTATTGCAACTAACTTTGACTATATTTAACAATTAAAACTTGATGGTCTTTTAATTTATATAACAACAGTTATTGTTTTGTTTAAATGTCAATCCTCTTAGAAATGGTTAAAACGGTGATTAATATACTTTGATTCGCCAGTCATACAACAATTAAACTTGAAAATGATCTGTAATAATCAAATGGTCTATTTAGTATTATTTTTGTTGTTCTTCAAAATCAATTCTAAATCTTTCAATTTTGACTGTTCTCCGGGGTGTTCATCCAAATGTATTACAAATTACACATGCAACACATTGTGTTCGGAAAATTATGATCAAGACAACTCTTGTCAACATTGTACACACAACAGTGTAATTTTTAATTCAAAATATCCAGTGTTTATTAACAATAACTTTGATTGTATAAAATCAACAAATAGAATTGACAAAATGTCTTGGTTACCCAATGATTCTTTTATTCAAGAACTTAGCTTTAACAAAAAATTTAATTTTAATTTAAATCAAGAAAGCGATATCGATTATTCTTTCTGTTATCACAAGCAAAAATTTAGAATTGGTAAATGGTTTAAAATTAACATGGACAATTTAATTACATCACAATTGATAATTTCTGTTTTTAAAACTACAAATTGTGAAAATGATATATATATTGATTTAACCAATTCTCCTAAAAATTTATTAAAAGCTGAATGTATATCATTTGTTGATTTGGATTCCGCTTCTAAAGGAAATAATGTGAGAATACCCAAAATAAGACCAAAAAGCTTAACAAATGGAGAACCATTTTATTATTATATTTATATTTCTATTACTAAATTGTGTGATGTGGATATTGAAGTTGAAGCAATTGTTGGTAAAGGTGAAGATCCTGCTCCATATGTAAATTTAAACCAAGACGATATTACATTTTTACACGATAGTGTAAATAAAACAAAGTCTGTTGTTTTTCCCTTTTCAAGTCAAGGTGTGTATGTATACCCAATATGCTTTATTGCTCAATTGTACAAATTTGTAGTGTTTACTGTAGAATTTCAAGGTAATTACTCTCTCTTGATAGATGGAACAAAAATTAACCGCAATAATCTACTTGAAGAATTTCTTTATTATGAAAACGAAGACGGTACAGTTTCAAATGAATGTGTTCAACTTTGGACCGGAAAACGATACGGAGCTTTAGCTGGAACACAAAATTTGGGAGTTGTTGTTAAAATTGATGGGAGTCCCAATATTAGATATTTTGCAATTCTTTCCAAAGACCACAGTTCCCCAGTTGAAATTGAATTTTCGGTTGTGTGCCCAGATCATTGTGGAGATAATGACCCAAGTGGATCTCGGGGGAAATGTTCTGTAAGTGATAAGATGTGTGTATGTAACCCTGGGTATGGTGGAGATGATTGTCATAAATTATGCTATTACAATGGATCGTGGCAAACTGACAACTCAGATTTGTGTTTTTTCGGAGAGCCTTGGTGTGACCAATATTGTCATTGCAATAAGGGTAAAATACTCAAAAATCATTTGTGTGTTTCAAAGGAGTGTTTAAATCATAAAGCCGGCAGCGATGATGAGTGT